GCTTTTCAGCATGCGACATCCTGCGGTGCTTCTCAGCCTGCAGGGTTCGCAGCGTGCGGTTTGCAATGCATTCCTTTTCAGTATGCGAGTTCCTGCGGTGTTTCTCAGGTTGCAGGGCTCCGAGGCTCTTCGCTTCGATGCCAATGTTTTCAGACACCGTAGCTCCGTTCCGTAAACATCTTCCAAGAGCCGCTCGCAACCTTTTGCAGCTGGCGGTCTGCAGACGTAGTCTGTCTCAGCATGCGAGCTCCCGCACGCTTCGCCGGCTTTTGCTGCGCGGACAATTTTCTCACACACGTCAGCGCCGTTTGTAGGCGTCAGAAAAACATGTAGACATTCACGAAGGGCTCAGTCTGTATATCGTCACATCATTACATACGCAGTCGTCGAACACATCGGTGTACATTCAGCGCTTTGTCCTTCTAGCTGGGTCGCTTCGTGCTGAGGCTGAGGCTGATGCAGGCTGAGGCTGAGGCAGGCTGAGGCTGAGGCCGAGGCCGACGGCAGACTGAGGCTGAGGCTGAAGCAGGCTGAGGCTGAGGCAGAGGCAGGCTGAGGCTGAGGCTGAGGCTGAGGCAGGCTGATGCTGAGGCAGGCTGAGGCTGAGGCTGAGGCTGATGCAGGCTGAGGCCGAGGCAGGCTGAGGCTGAGGCCGAGGCCGAAGGCAGACTGATGCTGAGGCTGAAGCAGGCTGAGGCTGAGGCTGAGGCAGGCTGAGGCTGAGGCAGGCGGAGGCTGAGGCTGAGGCAGGCTGAGGCTGAGGCGTAGGAGGGGTCGGCTTGCAGGGGGGGGCGGGCGCGGGGGGGGCGCCAACGACCGCGCCGATTCCATCGCGGCCCGCTGCCCCTTCCCGGGACTCTCAGGAATCCTCCGGGCCCAGTCGGCCTCGCAGTCGGCGCCGGCGTCGCGCCGCCCGCGAGCGCCAGCCGGCGGGCGGGCCGACCTTGTTGCGCATGTTTGGCGCGAGAGACCCGCGCGGGCCTCGCGCTGTGCCCGCGCCCCAGGGCGACGGCCCAGGCCCTTGTAGCCTCCCGCGCTGACGCGATGGCCTCGCGCGCGGCGCAGGAGCGGGCGCCGCCGACCGTTCGGTTCGGTTCCGCGCACTTCTCATGCGCGAACGCAAAGCCCCCCATGCTGCTCGCGCGCTTTTCGCGCTGGGCAGCACGGGGGGCGACGGCCGCGCGTTCAATGGGAAACCGCAGCGCAAGTTTCCATTCCCGCGCGCGGGGCGGGGCATGGACTTACACATGCGCCGACGGTCGAGAACTCGCGCGCGCGCCCGCGCCCGCCATGTTGGGCGTGCGCACTGGGCCCGGAAATCTGCGGCTCGGCCGCCCGATGCGCCCCAAAAACCGCTCCGCCTCCCCCCCCGCCCCCCTCCCCCTCAAAACTCTTCCGCGCTCTTGGAAAAAACCATGCCGCCGAGGCGGGGGCTCGGGCCGCGGCCTGATGGTCCCCGGGGCGCAGGGGAATCAAAGGAATCAGTGCGGAATCAGTGCAGAATCAAAACAGAATCGGCACAACTGCGACCCCTGATTCTAGCGGAATCAAAAGAATCAGTACGGAATCAATACGGAATCAAAGGAGGAATCGGCGATGGAACCAGAATCGGCCAGAACGGGGAAGTAGGCCAGAATCGGTGCCAGAACCCATGGGGAGATGCCTTTTTCCCGCGAGTTCATTGCGGCGGGTCCGCGACGCGGGCGCTCCGCGCGACTTCGCTGGTTCAGCGAGGCGCGCACTCGGCGCTCAGAGTGAACAGGTTGTTTTTCAGGGCGATATCCTGGCGGCGCGCTGGCGCATTGCCCATTTGCGTATTCCTGGCGGGCTGTTTGAGGGCGACCTGGCAGCGTCGGCCGAATGGCCCGCAAATACCGCGCGGCCGATCGCGCGCCCCATGCGATCACGTCGACCGCCGTGCGCCGCGACGGCCGCGCGCCCCGGGCCGCGCCATTGCCGCGTTGGATTGGACGGCGCAGCGCCCGTCCTCCAAAAGTCGTCACATGCATATCGCGCGCGTCGAGCCAGCAGCAATCGCTTCCCAGAAGCAGCGTTGACAGGCGCCCCTTGCCCGCTCTCGCCCGCTTCCGATCCAGACCGTAGTTTCTTAGGATGCGCTTGCGCGAATGTGAGCGCGCGGGCAAGTAACGCGTGCGCGCACTTGGCGCAGCCTGGGAAATCCAACATGGAGCCCCCCGGGGGCGCGGGGCGCCGGCGACGCCTCCGCCCGCCCCCCGCGCGCCCGACCCCCCCCGCAAGCCGACTCCTCCTAGGCTGAGGCTGTGACTGCGACTGCCGTTGCCGCTGCGACTGTCATCGCGAATGCGACTACGACTGCGAGAACAGCAGAATTCTACAACTGGATTCTCATTTGAATCTTAAGGGGAATGCTTCCAGATATGCTCCTACACATCGCTGTTAGGTTGCTTTGCCGGGATAATCGTTTTGAAGAGACGGCGCCCCGCGTTCTCCTTCCGCCTCCTTCCCCCTCCTCCCTCCTCCATGCGTTGCACCCACCCCGTACCATAGGGAACCCACCGAAGGCCCAAGTGCTGCCGCCCGCATGCGCCCCCCCACCCAGTGCAGCGCTTCGTGGCCTCATAGGGAAGAACCTCCACCGAATGTCCCAACGCTACCGCCCGCATGCGCCCCCCCCCCACCCAATGCAGCGCATCGTGGCCCCCATGGGGGCCCCACCGGAGTTCCTCGTTCTACCGCCCGTTTGCGCCCCCATCACCCAGTGCAGCGTTACGTGGCCTCGTAGGGAGCCCCATTGAATGCCCCAGTGTTACCGCCCGCGTGCCCCCCCCCAGAGTACAGCGCATCGTGGCCCCATGGGGAACACCACCGAAGGTTCCAGTTTTGCCGCCCGCATGCGTCCCCCACCCAATGCAGCGCGTCGTGGCCGCGCGGGGTTTCCACCGAAGGTCCCAGTGCTACCGCCCGCATGCGCCCCCCCCACCCACCAAGTACACCGCATCGTGGCCCCATATGGAATTCCACCGATTGCCCCACTGCCCCCACACCCAGTACAGCACGTCGTGGCCCCATAGGGAACGCCACCGAAACCCCAAGGAAAGCTACCGCCCGCATGCGCCCCCCACCCCCCCACCCAATACAGCGCTTCGTGGCCCCATAGGGAACCCAACCGAATGTCCCACTGCTGCCGCCTGCGTGCGCCCCCCCCCCCACCCACTACAGCGCTTCGTAGCCCCATAGGGAACTCAGCCGACGGCCCCACTGCTACCGCGCATGCGTCAAGACCACCAAGTACAGCGCTTTGTGGCCGCATAGTGAACTTCACCGAAGGTCCCAGTGCTACCGCCCGCATGCGTCCCCCCCACCCAGTACAGCGCTTCGTGGCTCCATAGGGAACTCCACCGAAGGTCCCAGTGCTACCGCCCGCGTGCCCCCCCCCCACCCAGTACAACGCTCCGTGGCCCCATGGGGAATTCCACCGAACCCCCAGAAAGAGCTACCGCCAGCATGCGCCCCCTCACCCCACACCAAGCACAGCGCTTCGTGGCCCCATAGGGAACTCCACCGAAGGTCCCAGTGCTACCGCCCGCATGCGTCCCCCCCCACCCCGTACAGCGTTTCGTGGCCCCATATAGTGCGTTAGGCAATGAAATGCCGTACGGTGTTGCCCCACGCCTTGCAATGCGATGCAGTGCTTCGCTATGCTACATGTTGCTATGAATGGAGATGGTATGACTCGCTGTGCGGCAACATGCCCTGAGCAATAAGGTTCGGTGTTTTGTTACTCTGCGCTGTGCAATGCATCGGAATCATGTCCTGCCTCGCTGCAGGGCACAAGGCCATGTACGCCTTTTCATGCAGTACTACATCGATGGGCGAGCCATACTTTTCATGATATACACGCAAGGTACTTATACGAAGTGATATGCCTGGGTGTTCTGAGATACGCAGCGCGACGGGATGCAATGCCACGCCAGGCAGACCAATACGATGCTCTACTTACATTGAGCTGTTTTGTCGCGGCATCGCCCTGCGCCTGTGCCCCCTCGACACAAGAGGACTCCCTATCTGGGCCTCGTGCTGCTTGTCACTTGCGGATCCCAGGTGCCCTGGTGGCCCCGCCGCACGACTTCAGTGAGTGATTTCTGTCTGTCTGTCCGTCTGTCTGTTTGTCTATCGCCCCTTGGTACATTATGCTCTGGCAGCTTGCGCCTCCGGCTGCAGGGCACCTGCGTGCAGCCAGCAGCCCGCCACTGCACCAGGTAGCCCGCCGCCGCCAGGCCCTCGTCCCCCCACGGGTCGGAAAGCCCAGAGAGAAACCCCTGGCGGCGGTCGGAGAACAACGAGCGGCGTAAACGTGGACTTTCGGAGGTCCGTGCGGATTCCATGGATCGGCCCTGGCCCTCCCCACGCGCGGCGGGGCGCGCCAGGGGGCCCGGCGCGGATATTTATCGCAAACAGAAGGGCCCCGAACCCTGATAACACGGTGAAGACGTGGCTAGGTCGCCGTCTTCGCATGAGGGTTCATCAATCTGGGCGGTTTGGCTTGATGCATTTGCAGGACAGACACCCCTTACCCCTAGTGCTTTCCGCCCTCCTATCTTAGGTCCCCTCCCACAGGCTTAGAGCTTTGTGGGCCCCGGAAACGGCAGGGCCGTTTTTTCACCGTTTCTAAAAAAATGTCCCTTGAAAATGGAAACGGCAAAAAAACGGCGACCGGAAACGGCAAAAAAACGGCTCCAGAATTGGAACCGGAGCCGGAACTGGTCAAACAACGGCGACGGAACCGGTAAAAAAAGGTGTCGGAAACTGCAAAAAACGACAAAACGGAACCGGTAAAAAAACGGCCCTGTCGTTTCCAGGGCCCACTAAGGCTCAGAGGTTCTCCTGTTGCTCATCACTTTGCTCCCCTTGTCCAGGAGCTGCTGTCGGTCTCGGTCTGAAGCTCGCTGCCTGCGACCTCCCCTCGCTGCCCGCGCCCCTTCCCGCGCCACCCCCGGGCGCCCCCCCCCTCCGGCCAGGACGCTGACGCTGGAGGCCACACGGCGCCTCCAGCGCGGCAGGGGACGAGGCACCTCGGGCGGGCCTCCTCCTCGCCCCCTGACCTTCCAGGAGGGCAAAAAATAGCACCCGACTTTAAAAACCTATCCCAAAGCTGTTCTACGTGTTGGTTTTAGGCTGTTTCGCTCAGCTTTTTAGGTTTTTAGGTCTCCGGTGCTGAAAAATAGCTCTCTGGAAGGTCGGGGTCGTGCTGCCCCCTCTCTCCGCCGCACCTCGAAGAAGAAGAAGCACTGCGTGAACGCGACCACCCGCTGCCGGAGCTCCGCGCGGGTGGATCTCCTTTGGATCGGCGCCGAACCCCCCCCCCCCCCCGGTGGCGCCTCCGTGGCGCCGCCCGTGGCCCGCTCCGCGCCGGTCCGAGATGTCCGCGCGGATCTCCGAAAGTCGCTCTACTCCTCTTGTCCAGCTTATCTCGCCTGTTCCACGCTCTGGTCAGCAGCACTGCCGAATACCAAGCTACTGTGGTCCCGCACTCGTCCTCTCAGTATTGTTCGGCGTCTGTCCCGGTAAGGGCGCGTGTTGTTGATAAGCGCAAGAGCATCGCCGCCGATGTCTCCGAAAGTGTGCTCTGATGCCCCGGTGTGCTCCTCCATCCTGCCTCTCCGCCACTTCCGTCGGTGGACCTGTGATCCAAGGGCTCCCTCGAGGGCGCGAAGTTATTCGCGCTTCGCGCTTCGCGGTCCTCGTTCCTTCTCCCCCTCCTCCTCGTCCTCCTGTTCTCCCTTTGGGAGGGCGGCGCGAGAGCGCGAAGTTATTCGCGCTTCGCGCTTCGCGCAGCGCGAAGCGCGAAGTTGGGAGCCCTAGCGGTGTGCTCCTCCATCCTGCCTCTCCGCCACTTCCGTCGGTGGACCTGTGATCGAGGCCGCCGCCCCCTGCGAGTTCTGCTTGCTCTCCACCCGACGAGTGGGGTGCCGACGAGGAGGGAGCCTGAGCCCCTGGCCTCGCGTGGTTTGACCCGCAAGATCGCAGGTTCCGCCGCTCTCGAGTCCCCGGCATGGCGCGCCCCAGCTGGGCGAGAAAGGTCTGAGAGCCCTGCGACGCGGAGCCACAATTGGTCTCGCAGCCACTATAAAGAAGCTAGATGCTGTTCTCCCAGGCCGAGGCCCCCGATACAGCCCGAGAGGGCTCCCGGAGGCCCTCCTGGAGGCCAGAAGAGGCCCAGATCAACGATGCTCTTGCACAGCTGGGCTTGCCCCTGGCCCTCGCCCCCGCCCCCTCGACCCCCCGTCCCCGAAGCCACCTTTCTGGTTTTTGTTCCTGTGGTGGACGTGGCTCGTCCCCCCCGCCAGGGACCGCCCCTGGCCCTCGCCCCGGCCAGTTCGCTGCACCCGATCGCGCCAGAGCTCTCGGGGGGCAGCCAAGGAGGGGGGTGAGGACGGGGGGTGCATCATGGCCACGGCCACGACATCTCCCCAGACCTCATGGCGCCTCTTCTTGTTTCAGGGCGTTGCCGCCCCCCCCCCCACCCCTGGGCCGCGCACGTGCCGCCGGCCACATGCTCTGCGCATCGCCCCCCTCTTGGACGCCCCCGAAGCCCGGGCGCGCGTGCCGCTCGTTTTGCAGATGTGTGGCAGGTTCCCAGTGCAGAGATCGTTTACGGTGAGGCGAGCCTCAGTGCCTGACCGCGCTTGGTGGCCTCGGCATCGTTCGGACGTGTGCATTTTTTTCTCGGCAGGAGCCATCGTGGACCATCCTGGACCATCGAGCAAAAAGAACACACGAAACCTTAAAATGCACAGGAAATGGACGTCCGAGCGATGGCAAGTTGCGCCCATGCACGGTCACGATGGGTGCACGCCAGGACGCGCCAATCCGGCGCCGCGCCTGCGTCCCAGAGATCCTGCCAATCGGCATCCAAGGAGCTTGCAGAGCAATTAGGGTGGTAACTTCCGCGCGGCTCACGACGTCTCCCCGGGAAGCACGGGCGGATCCGGAGTCGGGGCTCGCCCCGTATGCGGCGCCGCACCGCGCTCGGACGGCGTCGGCAGGCCACCTCCCCGGCCCTCGAAGGGAAAAGGAGCCATCCCGCCCCTGGGTGGGAGGTCCACGATACACCCCCCCCCGGCTGGGTCCAGCGGAAGCGCCCTCGCCCCGAGGGCGGGTCCGCGGGGGACGCGCCGCGCCCAAAGGGGCGGCGACAGCACGGCCACGCGTCGCGGGGGCTCCGCGCTGCGCTGCGTCCGCAGCCTAATTAGGACATTGGCTCGCGCGGGCACAGAGGGAGAACAAACAGGGGAGGGAACGGGCGCGATCCTCGTGAGGGGCGCGCCGACATGGACGTCGACATTCACGCTCGTAGATTCACTTTCGCGCAGATTCGTTCACAAGCAGGACCACTGGCGCTCAGACTCGCCCGCGCTCAATCTCTCGCAATCACGCCTGTCGTCCTCGTTTGCGTCGTGCGCCCCGCCACACATTTCAGCGCTTTCTCGCGGTTCGTGGCCCCGTAGGGAACGCCACCGAAGACGATATTCACAATTGCAGCATTCACAACTGCCTATGGTTGGGTCCTTCGCCCTGCTAATTGTTGCGTGTTTTCAATATGTCGTCCACAACGCCTGTGGGAGGACACTTCCGACCTAAAGCAAGCGTCCGGGGGTGGCCCTCGTCGCCACTGCTGGACGCAGCTCGGAAGACCTGTGCGGTTGGCCCACGGGAGGGGCCCCAAGACCGGCTATGAGCAGTCGTTGTCTCACCTCGCCCTGTTCCGATAACGGTTTGGACGTCAATGCGCTTCCAGAGGCTAGGAGAGTCAGTATCGTCTGACCTATCTCCATCACCACCGTGCCATGGTGTCTCAGCCCCACCACCCCGCCACCCCATGCGAAAATAGGCCCTTCGAAACTCGAAGGGAACAGCATACGTCCCCATCAGGGGGGGAAATCGGCCAGGGGGGCCCAGGCCACGCCAGCGGGGATCCTGATCGGGTGACCGATGCTCAGAGAGCCATTGTGCCACAGATCAGGTCTGGTGGGGCACGCCGCGGGCGTCGACCGCGATGCGGTCGGCCCCGCCCGGTTCAGCCTATAGGTCCAGGGGTTTCCTGCGTTTTCCCAGGTTCTTCCCAAGAGCTTCCCAGGAGGTTTCCGCAACTGCTCCTTGTCCTGTTCGGCTCGAGTCCGACCCCACCTGCTCGGACCCCATTTGGGAGGCCTCCAGCGGAGGGGAAGAGCCCAGGGACGGGGTGGGGGAACCCACCCCGGCAGCCCCATCTGCTCGGCACCCCATCCGAGCGCCGCAGAGACAAAACGGGGTCGTCGTCTCCGACGCCTGCGCGTAAGCTGCCCGCGCAGAGTCGCGCGCGAACGCTTTCGTCTCAAGTGTGGCGTGCCGCGCTGGCGGCCCGCGTAAGCCTCGGGCGTGAGGTCGCCACGCCACTTCGCGTAGGATGCCGCTGCGTGAACGCAGGAGGAGGAGGAGGATGGACTTGGAGACGGAGGAGGAGAATGAGGAGGAGGAGGAGGAGAGGGAGGAGGA